CCCGCAGCCGCTTACCCGAAATCTTCACCGGGCTCTGGAAGCTGGGCTGAATTTTATGGACGTTGTCGTTTTTTTAACACCTGATCCAGGGGAGACCTTTCGAAGAAGGTGAGCACGACTTCGGACCTGGAATACTGAGGAGAGACACGTTTGTTCCTAAAAACTCTCCTCCCGCCAGGTGGCCCGTGGGAGGCGAGCGCCCCCGGCCGCTCCGACGGGGCTGCGTCCCCCACCCGCGCCAGGTGCGCGCGTGGCTCGGGCGCAGGGCCCAGGCACAGGCAGGCCGGGGCCGGTGCGGACATCGGCTACCTCTTCCGAGGGCCGGGTCTGTGCGGGGCTTTCGCACGCGTCTCCCTCCACCTCACAATGAGCTGGGAGCCCCGCCTTCGCTTCTTCCCCGGAGGAAACGCGGGGGCACTAGGCCCCGGGAGCCCTTCCTCCCCGCGTCGCAGCCCACCCGCAGGCGGCCGGGCACCCACCTTCCGCGGCATACTGATGACGGCCTTGAGCAGCTTCTCCACCTCGTTCAGCCTGGTCTCTATGTCGTGGGCATCCTTTATGGCGACCAGTCCTAGGATGGAGACGGAAGCGGCTCAGACTGGAATACAGACCAGGAGGTGTGCTCCCAAATGAAGCACAGAACCACCGGCAACCGCGGCAGGGCCGCCACCCCGGGGTCCTGCTCCGCAGACGTCTGGGAAGGTTTACCCGCCTCGTGAGGGGCGGCCCTGCCCTGAAAGCCCCGCTCCAACCCTTGATCTAAGTTTCGATGTCGACAAGTGATTAGTGTGTGTGCTGGAGTGGCCACCGACCACAGAAAGCCACAGGTGGACCATCGAAAGCTCCCCCCGGAGCGGAGCAGTCTGGCCAGCTCCGTCATCACCCTGGACAGGGCTGCCGCTCGGCCCCCAGCAGCGTGGTGGCTGCAGGCCCGGGACCCAGCTGCCCCCAAGGACACAGTGGAAGGTCGCGCTGCTGACCACGGCAGCGATGGCCACGCGGTCGGTGCAAACAAAGCCCATTTTTTAAAACGTTTTCTTGAGTGAAGGTAGACTTATTCAGAGAGACACGTGCCCCAGAGTGCAGGCTGTTTCAGAAGCAAGAGAAAGGCCACGAGGTGTGGGAACGGGGTGCTCAGTTTAAAGTGAAAGTAGTTACACACTGCACGGCGTGAGGGTGTCTCACTCAGAAGGGAGAGCGGCCCGAAGTCCGTATTTAGACAAGCTGTTTACATGCTGGGTTTGGGATGAAAAAAACCCCAGCTCTTTACCCAGAGAAAACCAACGTGGCATGACTCACAGCACCTTCCAGAAGCCCAAACATCACCCTCCTCACAGCTTCTGGAAGTCCTGACTGGCTGCTAGAAATGGCAGTGTTTTGTCTTTAAATCACGAGAGCTGGCGGTACAGAGACTGGGGTGCATTCCTGTCTCCGCACGAGCGGTGTGGCACGGATACATCAGCCTCCCCCGGATGGAGCACCTCAGCCGCCAAGCGCATTCACGTGGCCCAGGATGACGGTCCCTGTGAGCTCCGACCAGACCACGGAGGCTGAGAGCCAGAACTATTTTCAGTCACTAATGCTCAGTTTTCAGAAGTTCCGGTTTGGTTTGGTTTCATACGAAAGCGGCTTTTCTCATTTTGCAGGCAACTCACTAACTCTATCTAGTGGTAAAAATTAACTTCCTGGACTATGCGGTTGAAATTAAGAGGCCCCAGAATAGAACGCTGGGTCCGTGGAAACCAGCGTGCCCCAGACGCGGGGCGGGGGGCGTTTCTGGAATCCTGGGCTGCAGCTGGGGGTCCCCTCACAAAGTGGGGCACGTTGAGTCAAGGCCCAGAATCATTCCCTCGCTTCCTGGGGTGCAGGCCGGGCACCCCTTCACCTGCCCACCCGGCGTCCCTACTGTCTGCCTGCCCAGCCTCCCCAGCCACACGGGCCCAAGCAGTCATCCTGAAGACCACGGGCCTCATCCACACAGCCCTGCTCCTGCCCCACCAGGACACCCCAGTGTCACCCAGAGAAAGGGGCCGGACCACCTTGTCCTCTTCTCACCCACCCCACAGGCTGGGGGCAGCCAGGAGAAGGAAGGAAGAGAACACCAGGGTCAGAGTCTCGGGACGCCACCTGCCCAGCCCTGAGCTCCCTGCTTAGAATTCCAGACACGCGCACGTGCGTGCACACACACACACATGCACACACAGCTCCGAGATCTCCTGTTTGCTACAGACAAGTATACAGATGGAAAGAGAGACAAAATCCTCTGAAAAGCTGTTTTTAGAGAGAAGACAATCATGTGAATCATCCCCACAAAGTGCTTCTTCATTCTAAATCAGAACTACTGCTGTGATTCAACATTTATTACACTAAATGGACCGAGTTTATGACACAGTAGTTGTGCTTTTGTATCTTGCAGGTGCGATAAACAGGAAGGTTGGCCTTCCGCCCAGTCAGTGCACAGGACACGTTCACACGCATTTTATAGGACGTAAAGCAGGTCTGGCCCATGGTTGGGTTTACAACCACCAAGGGCACCATTTAGTCAGATACGTACATGCTGCTCTACATTGCTCTTCTTTTAGGGTGGCCAGAATTAGCAAGTAAAACACAGGACACTTAATTAAATGTGAATCTCAGATAAACAATGAATAATGCAATGGTACGGAGAGACAAACTAAAAAATTATTCAGTGTTTATCTGAAATTCAAACCTACTTGGTGTCCTGTACTTTATCTGTCTTCTTGGTGACCTGCTTTCTAGAAGGAGGCAGAGAAAGGAAAGAAGTGTGTGGCCAGGCCTCCAGAAACACATCAGTGTTTAGGCTCGGTGTACAGACCCTCGGGGGCCAGCCCGCCTCGCCAGCTCTGTGCCCTGCGACTCCCCACACCCTGACCCCAACCCCGGGGGAAGGGTCCAAACATGAGATCCAGTCCCACTGGCCTCCTCCACCTCCAGGCTCGTGGGTGAAAATCCCCCATCGCTTCAAGGGCTGGTGCAGGACACGCCTTCTGGTCTGTGAAGCTCCCCACCCCCAACGCCACCGCCCCCACCGGACCCCGGGCTTGGTCTGCTCTTGGTTCCCCGAGACCTCCATCTACCCCTCCTACTCCACACTGGAACTGCTCCCTCACCTGTGTCCCCAAGTCCACCTGCGAACCTGAGGGCAGGAGGTGCCCATGGTCCCAGCCACCAACACAGGCCCAGCACTGACACATGCCAGGGAGCCAGTGGTCGCCAGCTGTGCGTTGACGGAGTCAAGTTGCACAAGAGAGCAAGGTCAGGTACGAAGTAACTTCTCTGTGTCATCAGCCCGTATCTCGTGCTTCTGGGCATCACCCCAGCCAGACCCCAGCCAGCGGGGTCAAGGTCCCAGGCCTCACAGGAGAGCTGCCCAAGACCACGGTGGCATCAAATCCACTGAGACAGCGGCCATCCTAGTTTGGCTCCATCTGTTGCCCTTTACCTGTCTTTCTGTTTCTGAGTGGTCCCTGGAAATGAAAACAGACTTCAGAACAAAAGGGACTGAAGACGCACCAATGGGGGAAAGGCGGACGCTGGGGCCCCTCCAGCCTGAACGGAGGCGACAGGCGGCCATTTTTTAAGGTCTGGCTTTGCATGGGGTGGGGCACATTTCCATCATGTATGTCCCCATCGCAGCTGCTGGGTGACAACCAGGGGGCGGCAGGGATCAGCCTTCCTGAAGCAGGTCCTCTTTTCTCCGAGGAAACCCGTCTCCAGGAACCACAATGACAAGGTGTTCCCCAGGGGCTGCAGCCAATTAAAGGTGGAGACTCATGGAGCTTCAGCTGGGATGACTGACCTGCCTCCGGGCGGTGGGCGGGGCTGACCCCAGCACGAGCACAGGGGTGAGGTCGCCATAGACCACAGGGCAGAGGCAGCCGCGCCCCAGGAGGGCCCCTCTCACACCCCAAATCAGTGCAGGAAGGGGACACCACTGGCCACGTTGCTCCCAACAGCCTGGCCTTCTTCAAAGTCTGCATTTCCTCCTCTCCTGGGCCTGGAAATCACCTCCGCCCCCACCATTGTTTTACAAGTGCTTCCCATCACACAGCAGGTGTATTAAATGTGGATGGAAAACATTAAAACAAACAAACCTGGAACTGGCCTCTGGGGCCATAGTGCAGAAATGAAGTAAATCTTCCTTCTAAAATTTCTCAGTCTCAGAACTCACTGGGGCCCTTCCCACCATGTTTCTCGAGTTCAAACTGACAGGAGCTGCAGCACCTGCTCGCACACCTGGAATGAGGGTCGATCCCCGCAGTGACAGTGACGCAGCACCACGTGAGGTGTGTGCAGAACCCGGGGCCCAGGACAGACGGCGTGCTGCTGCCCCCACCTCAGGACGTGCAGTCATTTTGTGACCCAAGGGCTTTGGCTGTAACTTACTGCTAGAGCTTTTCCAAATGTCACCTGTGTACAGTATCTATCTTTATTTTTAAAAATGTGCTTAAGGACAATAATTTAGGATTATCAAAAGCTTTTGTATTCCAAATACTGCTGATGGAACGAAAACTCCGCGGGGATCTTGTCCGAGACTGTCATTTAAAAACTGCAGGCGGGTACAACCATTGTGAATTCGCACAGTGGGACAGGAAACCTCACACCCCTCTAGGTTATGAGGCTGTCGTTCCAGAGCCTACCAGCAGGGGGCGCCGGCAGCCCGTGGAAGCCGCGGGCTCAGTCCAGTGAGGACCACAGGAGGGGACATCGACCACCTGCCGCGTCCAGGTTCTCCTCTCAGGCGGCTGACTCAGAAGACCTCACAGCCCCGGGAACTTTCTAATTTCTGATAAAGCATAATCACTAAGATAATCTGTTTTTAAGATTTCACTCGACACAATTTATGATGTCACAAATTTCTGCAGGTACAGCCCAAAAGAGTCAAATATTTGAAACCAAATGATTGATAACACGACTGTACAGAAATTCCAGTGTGTCAATTTTACACACCTTTGGGGTTAAAATTCAGCCTCGAGCAGTCAGGGCGTCCTTTCTGTCCAAACAAGTGTAGCCTTGAAAATTGGCTTCTGTCGGTTCCAGGGTTAACATCTTTCTGGCAACACAGACGCCTGACTCATTCTCGGGACCCAGACTGAACACGCTGCTATCAGCACAAAGGTCCATCCGCGAGAGCAAACACAGACCAGTGTCCTCACCCCAGACGCCTGTGTCCCTCGTCCCTCTTCCGGGAGTGGAGGCTCTGGGCTGAGCACCTCTGCTAACTGTCCCCGCTTCCTCCCACATGGACTCAGGTCTGAATATAACTCAGCACCTTCTGCTGCTAAAATTCTGGAAGTGAAGACAGATGCTTCTCAGGTCAACCGGGAAGGAGCGTCCGTTACCCAAAGAACAACGGTCTCTTAAGGGGAGACTCCCACAGCAGAGCCCCAGGGAACTTTTCTGTAGCGTGAACTTTCAAACTGAGCCAGATAAGAAATTACATCTCAGAAGTCTGTGCACACTCTGTCCAGGGGAGCAGATGGCTGGGGTGAGGTCAGGGTCACAGGGTCACCTTGCCTGCACAAGAGACATCTACATTCCTTCAAGGCTGAGCAGCAGACAAAGTTTGGAAATGAAATACTTCCAGTTTTCCAGGAAAAACTTTTAATGATTACTTCCTAAGTGCCTGTCTTCTAACTGGTGGTCGCCACTTGGGAAGTGGGGCCTCACTGATCAGCCGGAGAGCCTCAGCGAGGCGGTCATTCACTTAAGCATCCCTGTGGCAGGCCCACCTCCCTGGGAGCCTGGGAGGCCCTGTGAGACTACAGGCTCCCCCGTGGTGGCCCACTCCTTGCCCCTGCTCCTGCCCAAGGCTCGCAGCCCCTCCCTCCACCAAGGACCCAGGGAGGGGCAGAGAGGGGACTTCCCTCCCCGTCCTCTTCCCATACCTGTGAGACGCCCTCCCTGATCCCCCCTTCCCTGGATGGCTTCCTCACTCTCCCACCACCAGCAGAGCCCCCTTACCGAACTCCAGCCTTGACGTGTCTGAGGAGCCACTCAGCCTCCTCTGCCTTAAAACGTGGAAGGAATTCAGGGAATGAACACACCAGCCGCTCCAGGCTCTCAAAACAGGAAGCACTTGATCCTGAAGCACTGCCTGCCTTCGGCTGTAGTAGGTGCCCATCAGGGGACGGGGGGCGGAGCAGGACTTACAAACACCCGGGGGCAATGGGAGCCAGGGCTCCCCACAGGCTGTGCCCCCATGGCGGTTCTCTTCCTCACGGGCAGGTGCGCGCGCGGGCACACACACACGACCCAGGGAGTCCATGGTGTCTGCTCCCGGTGACACCACCTCCCAGCCCAACCTGCACAAGTACCACATCCTAACTTCAGGACCAGCAAAGCCACAGGCCTGATGGGTAGGGGTCCCACAGAGGTTTCAGGGTGACCCCACCTCTGGGTGCTGGGGGCCAAGACGGGAGGAGGCAGGCTGCGTCTGCACCCCTGTCGGGAGGACTCTGGGCGAGGGGACACTGCATGTTCCAGAGCCAAGGGCAGAGTCACACGGTCCTCACTGTTCAGTGCTCACAGTGGCCCTGCCCCACCATCAGTCACACAGTGGGGACTTGTGCTGAGTGACCTGCCTGAAGTCTCGTGGAGGGAGCAGGTGACAACGCCAGAACCTATCCTCGCCTGCCTGCTTCCAAACTCAGCACTTCCAACTGCTTAGCCTGACGCCTTCCGACTGTGACCTGGTGTCCCCAGGTGTGTCACCTCAACCCTGACCCCCTCCTGCCATGACCTTGTGACCCCAGGAGGGTCACTGTGACCTCGACCTCCTCCCGCTGTGACCTCATGTCCCCAGGTGTGTCACCTCAACCCCGACCCCCTCCTGCTATGACCTTGTGTCCCCAGGAGGGTCACCCTGACCTTGACCTCGTGTCCCTAGGGGTGTCACCCAATCTTGCAGGACCTCGACTTCCTCATGTGGGAAATGGGGGGCTCTGATGGGGTGCTCTGACACTGCAGTCAGAGCTGTAACCCCATGTCCGCCCCCCACACTCTGTCCAGTTGCTGTGCTCCATGTTCCCAGTGATCCTAAGTTACAAAGGACGACGAGATGTCTGTTTTCAAGATAACGTGATGCACGATGTGCAAGTTAAGTCAGCGGAAGAGCAGAGCAGTCTCGTCCATCGGCAGCACTGAGCCGGAGGACCGTGCCACAGGACGTGGTCTGTGCTCCCACATGACACTCCCAAGCAGAGAACCACATCTGTGCTGACACTGTTCAGGGCAAGCCAGCCCCCTAGAAAAGAAAGGTGCCCGGCCCCCTCACCCCAGCCTCCTCCCTGCCCCCACCATGGGGGGGATTCAGACCAAGGGCCCTGGGGCGTCTCAGGGTTCAGGGCTCACGGAGCTTTTTGATGAGCCAAGCAGGACATTGTAACCCAACCCAGAAACAGGTCAGGAAACTTAGACCGAGGGGCTCAGGTAGGGGTCACTGCGGAGCCCGGCAGCCCCGGACAGCACACACGCCTGACGCCCTCCGCGTGCGCGGTCAGGGTGTCCCATCTGTTCATGAAAATAATAAACCTGCCTAGAAACGAGGCGGCATCTTCTTTTCTATTCCTGTAACGTATTTTACTTAGAAAACAATTTCTCTGGGCCTGAGAAAGGAAAAGGACTCCCCGAGTCTGCCTGTACAAGCTCAGGTGCTGCCGGGGGCGGTGCCAGCTTGCTCCCGGGCAGAGAACCGAGGGCGAGAGCAGAGATGAATGTCGCCCCTCCTCTGGCCCCAGGCCTCCATCTCCTCTCCTCCAGGGGTGCTGGGAGGGCCTTGCGGGAGGCACCCCCCCACCCCGATCAGGACTCCAGCTGAGAAAAGAGCTCCCACTGCCAGCAAGACAGGCTGTTAGAAAGTCCTTTACACCCAACACGGAGCCTCTAATTAGCCACTCCCACCGCAGGCCCCACCCCCCCCCGCCACAGCACCCCCCACCCCACATTCACACCTCATGCCCACTTCTGATTTTTCCGCCTTTGGAGATTTGAAAGCAGCTGTCACAGCCCCTTCAGTCTGGTTCCCTCCCTGGTGATCACCCTCTTCTGGGACCTTTCTCCAGCAGGCGGCCCTCTCCGTGGAGGCGCTCTGAGAGCTGACACCTCGCAAGCTCAGAGCAGACGCAGCACAGCGAGCACGCGCGCAGACGGACGGAGCCGGGGGGAGGGGGGTGCACAGAGAGGCAGGTGGCGCACACTCACCTGCCTTCTGCTCCGGGGAACACGGTGTCCTCGCCAGACCCCCAGCAACTGAAGCCACACCCTCCTCCCTGCTGTCTAAGCCCCCGCCAGAAGCCACTGGGGGTGAAGTCGGAAACCACGCGTGTGGAGGGCCTGCTACTGCTAACCCCGGTACCACACACGCCAGTCCTCACGCAAAAGTAGGCCTTAGGTACCAAGTTACAGGGGAGGGGCCGTGGGGAGCCCGAGTCCCCGAGTCTGCCTGGACTCACCTGAGCTGGGTCACCTGACCGGAGGGGGGGGGCGGGGAGGGCAGGCGCTCCGCCAGCTCTCAGGGGCTCCTGTTTGTTTACGGCCCGACTTGTTCCAGAAAAGACGTAAGTCGTTGAATAAACTGCAGCTCCTTCCTATAAGCTATCCCGGTTTGGGTGTTCAACTCATACATTTTTAAAAGTGAGTAAATAACACACACACCCTAGCAGCAAATCAAGGCCAATGGCTGCCAAGCTTGAAATAATACCAATCGACCTCCAGAGGGGCTGTAAACGGTGGGGACCTGGGGCGCAGGGCCTGGAAGGCTGCCCGTCTCGCTCAGGGCCTGCAAGCTTGCTGGCTTTGGGAGCCTTTCCAAGTGACGTGTCTGCCAGAGGATGTGTCATGAGAACAGCTAATTATCCACATAATTCACACGCTGGGGTGGAGGCTGTCACCAGGGGGAAGTGGAAATTATCTCAGGACCTCAGGCAGACCGCAGCAGAGAAGACCCCCAATAGATGACGGCCTTCAGGAAATGCCCCCAAAGGTGCCCCAGGTCTCTGCTTGGAGGAAGACTCTGGGAAGTGTCACCAGATTCTCAGAGCTACAGGTGGTCAAACAGGTGGAGCGGTGAGGAGGGGGAAACCCCAGTCCTGGGTCTCAACTTCAGCCTCTCCTCCCTCTCCTCTGGCCTCCCATCCGCAGGCCTCCAAAGGCCAGCCCCCGGACGCGAGTAAGAAACGGGAAGCCACCACAGTTCTCTGAAAACTCCAGTCCCCGCGAGCCAGGAAAGTCACAAGGCCAGGGAGGAGGCGGCCATGGTTAATCAAACCCGAATGCGGACCCACCCTGGGCGGCCCTCCGGAGGAGTGACAGGGACCGCGTGGCACCTCGCACTCGGGCTGTCGGTCACCGGGGAGGGGAGGCGCGGCCCTGCCCGGGGAGGGCTCCGAGGGGG